ACAAAGGAGACACAAGTTACCGATTTACCTGAATTTGGTAGCAGGTAAACAAAAAAAAAAACGCTTAATTCGGTGGTATTCCTTAGACCACAAGGTACAAATATTAAGCTTTTAATACAAAGAATAAACTGAATTAATTAATTAAAAAGGATAGAATAGTTTTCGTATATGAGCTATAAATAGCTTCTGAATTCGGAACATTAATTCTTCGATGCACTATGTTTTAGCATCGACTTCAGACGCTATAAAGTGGAAATTTTAATTTTTGTAATTTTTGAAGTCGGTTTTTCATTCATAGTTCACTTTTATATTTTAAAATATCAAAAAGTTCACGTATACTCCTATTAATGGCGGTATACTACCTCGTCTATGACAGATGTAAACAAACCACCCAGTGAGCATCGTCGAAGTTTCGAGATATTTGGTTCTGTAAGAGCCAATTCACTAAGCAAAATAACATTTCCTATGGAAATACTTTATTTATTTATTATTAGGTACACACAACAGATGACATCAAAACATGAACAATATAAGAAACATAATAAGTGCAAAGTAACTTAATGTCTCCAAAACATGTGCACACGACATGATCTAGGTAAGGGTAACGAATTTACAGCACAAGTACTTATAACCTATATGTATAGCGAAATATGTTGTGGAATATTTAGGAAAATTAAATGTTTATAAAAACATTGTATGTTTATATTAACATTTAAATTGTAAGCCTTGAACTCCTTATTTACAAAGTATATCTAAAACGTATTTTGAACTTGTTTATTTTGTTATTGAATATGCCGATATTTGTACTATTATTAATCAATAAGTCATTGTAGAGGCGATACCGATGATGGGGCTTAATATTAATCTTGATAAATGAAAGAAAGGCGAGGAAATTAACCCGGCGTCATGGGGGTGGAAAAGTGTTACACGGACGTTGGGGTGGGTCTCACCGACCCGTTTATTAATGTCAAAATTATTCCAATACTGTATAAATAATAAAGTTAATATTATTCATGTTTAGTTCTATAGGTATCTAAGTAAATAAATGAAACACAAATATCATATTATATTTATGTTTTAATTACATTAAATGGAACTTTAAAAAAAGAACGACAAATGTCAACAAAAGTTTTCTCTTCTATTTAAATGTAATTATATTATTAATTAACAATCAGCCTTAATGTTTTAATGTCACTTTTTTGTAGGAAACTAAATAAACTTAAGTAAAAAAAGTCAATTCGTATCTTTGGTACAGTCAGCACAAAAAGGTACTATGTGTTCTACACAGATATATTTGTTGCAACTCTCGCAGGTGTAGTTTGTCTTACGGTCTTTTTTGGCTGAACACACTTGGCAACGTTTGCGAACATTAGGCTTTTTTGCTGGTGGTTCCCCTGAAGATTCAGGGGAACCACCAGCAAAAAACAAATTGTCCAATTTTCTGTCGCAACTCTCGTGGAAGCACTGATACATTTTGGCGAAGTTTTAGGTGTTCCATAACAAGACTGAGACCTAGTTGTTTTATAAATCGCCTTCGTTTTGTTTTTGAACAATTATTATTTACTTTGTTAATTATTAGGCCATTAATAGCAGCTACGTTCAACGAGGCATAAAAAATTGTCAATGGCCACCTTTTAGAATTACGACTTACGTCGTACGTAGCACATAGCTCGTCGGCTACATCCACACCGCATTTTGTCGTATTATAATATGTATTTATTTCAGGTTTGCGCTGTTCTCCTGTTGTTTCATCAATATTGTTGTCGTGATGTAAACTAGACATCAGCAATACTATTTTGTTCTTTTTAGGCACATGAGTGACAAGTGTGACATCCTTTTGAAAACCAAATCGAGATGAGAAAACTTCAATTCCGCGAGTTTTAGTGAATTCTACTGGAACTTGTCTTTTATTTTTGCGCAGGGTACCAACTGATGTCAAGTTATGTTTTTTGAGCAAATGCTGCACCAGTTCATAACTAGTGAACCAGTTATCATAAGTAACGTTTCTGTTTGTTCTTGTAATTGGCTGTACAATCCGGTCAACAACATCAAATGGCTTGTTACTGGCAGAATAAGGGCCTTCAGGCTGCTTCCCAGGATATATCTCTAAGTTTTTTATATAAAAATTTCTTGCGTCAATGATTGAAAAATGAAAAAATGCAATGATTTTTATCCCGTATTTAGCAGGTTTGGAAGGTATATATTGACGAAATTTACACCTACCTCGGAAAGCTACAAGCATTTCGTCAATTGTTAGACAATCACTTGGTGTATAAGTTTTTTTACAATTTTTAACTAATGCTTCAAAAAATTCTCTAATTGGAGCCAGATTGTCTAGTTGCTGTCTTTGCCCACGAGTAGAATAATCATCAAACGTCAAAGAACTCTGAATGAAATGAAATCTCTGCAAAGACATTACAAGCCGAAAAATATCCACACCTGTGCCATCAGTAGCCCATAAATCAATTTTTAAATCAAATTTTGCCTTCCCGATCGGTAGAGACCAGCTAAATAAAGGAGGCCTATAAAAGCTTTCAATTCGATTATAGTACATTCTTTTACATGGGTGTACTTAGATAAATTAGTACATGAAGCTACTCGTATTTTAGGTATAATGCGTGCATTAGTATGCATAAGTATGATTTGCAGCATATCCTCAGTAATGAAAATATTCCAGCATTCCACTTCAGACATCGCCGATTTTGCTTCTGGGACGACACCTGGCAATTGATGGATTATGTTTTCAGTTCTGGTTCTGACATTTTGTCGAAAAGGCGTCTTATACCACATCGTACCGTCTTTGCCAATATAAAAACCCGAAGGACACTCACGGTTTGCGTTTGAAGAACTAGACGATTCGGATGTACATTGCTCTTCTCGCGAACGACTTCTATGCAATAGACTAGACAGTGAAATGTCATCATCATCAGCCTCTGAGATATCTTGTTCTGTGTCACTGGGATTACTACGCTCACTCAAGTGATCTTCTTCGTCACACACATCCTGGTCTGACAACTCAGAATCAGAGTCAGATTCTTGTAAAATTGCGAAAATACACTGTCGTTCTATCTCTTCGCGATCCATTTTTTACTAAGTACCTACAAAAATACAAATAAAATACATTGAACTATATATATCAGTAAATACAATTGTAAGCAACAACAAAAAATCAAATATAAAAGGATAAAAACACAGATAATAAGTAAAAAAATATCTATACAAAATGGCGTGAAATTGTTACACTGACTGCGGGGATGGGTCTCACGTACCTTATTCAATTTTGTGCACCTGTAACTCCCACTGCGGCTGTGCCACGACTAACATGTTGCTTGAGACGCATAGAACAACTCAACAGTTCCAGCTATTGATAAGAACGGCAACGTCGCACGCATAGTAACCGAACTAGAAGCGCAATAAAATATGACGGGTCGCACAGACCCAACCCCCATGACGCCGGGTTAATAAGAGAATGAATAGTTTTGAAAAGGCAAGTCATATCCTGATATTTACACCGAGTTAGTAGTGACATAATGTTAAACTTTTACTTGAATTTAAACCATACCTATAGCACAGAATTCATAGTTTTTTTTTTGAATACGATCTACGTGGATGGTGTAGTATGGAAAACGAATGATTATGTTATACTCTAAAATACAGCGTACTAGGGAGTTGTGCAAAATGAGAAAGCCTCGCGGATTTTAAATCTTGACAATTCTAAATATGAAACTAATAAGTTTTTACTTAAAGAATACATGATCGTATTGTTTGCGGAACAAAGAATTTCAGTAAACAGTATACTTAACTACGAATTTTCTATCAAGTACCTGTGCATTTATTTTATTATCAAAAGTAAATCTGTGTATTTTATTGCTAAATGATAAGACCAAGCATTTTCTTGTATTCAGATGCATGCTTGTTTTATTTACACCAATTATGAATGGAGTTTAAATTGAGCTGAACATTTAACGAATCGCTAGATGTATCGATAACAGAAAAGAGCTTTAAATGGTTTCCATATATCAGTCATGGATATGTTAATTTATTAACGAGATTCTTTTGGCACACCAAATGTCACAGAAGTGGGTGCGGATTTGAAACATTTTATAGTAACTAACTGACTCCTCATGTTGAGGTATGATTCAGTACATCTTAAAAACCTGCCATGTATACCGTAACATGTTAACTTGATATATAAATGTTACGAGCTTGGGGTTCGAGACAATTAAAAACTGCCGAGTGAATTACAAAAATTGACACTAATTACAACTTAAAACCACACTAATAATAAAACACAATTGTACTACTGATTACTTTAGTTGACTCCGGTCGCGGTCTATACCGGCCTTATATCAGATAGTTCCAGAATATTCTACTGTAGAAACATCTAGAATGTCCGAGTACCAATCAGTCCCGATTGACTGGGTGTCGATAGTTCTAGAAAGTACTTCCATGGAAAATTCTAGACGGATCTTGACTCTCCAAGTTCTGCTACTCAATACTAGTGGTAACTAGTGTGGCCATGTACAAGTCATCAATGGTGGCGCGCAACACTGCCCCCTCCTAAGACATGCTCGTCCCTACCATTATCGGGCCCATAATAACGCGCCAATCGATCCACATGGACGATTTTAGAAATACCTCTTGCACATTTTTGTATCCGGGGTTACGTCATTGATCTTTGTCACAATCCGGTACGGTCTATCCCTTTGTTGTTCATTTTGCGGTATACCGGGTTTTTATCTTTTCAGACATTTGTTGGCCCGATTGTCTGACGAACTCATAAATGTCACTCATTTTGTTCAGCAAGTGATTTGCATAATCGGTTACAATGCGTGAGGCATCAGGTGGTATTCCGGTGATCAGGTCTGCAGGCAGCCGTAATTCTCTTCCAAAGTTTGCAAAAGCTAGTGTCACTGATGTACTTTCGTGAACAGCAAAAACGGTTGAGGTTGGCACTCTGGATCTTCAAGAACTCGCGTTCCAGGTTTTGAAGGTTTTCCTCAATCGTACGGCCTACGATGATGATATCCTGTAGTTTTCTCCTTGACTTTAGGGTTAATTTTAACCTGCCAGTAGCCACTTTTCAGGTTCAGCGGGCTAAACCACTTTACTCCTGTAAGCATGTCCAGCGTGTCATCAATTCTCGGCAGGGATAGCTGTCTTTCTTCGTAACGTCGTTCAGACGGTAGTAGCCAACACAAAACCACATGATGCCGTCCTTCTTCTTTACCAGCACCACAGATGAACACCATGCACTAGATGAAGGTGCAATAACACCATCCTTCACCATTACCTCAATCATGGTTTCCACTTCCTTTTCATGTGCTACCGGAAATCTTCTTGGCCGCTGACGGATAGAAAATTCTTCTCCTGTGTTTATTTTGTGTTGAACTAAGTTATCTTTCCTATGTCAGCATCATTTGATGAGACAACATCTGCGTACTTAAGTAACAACTTCTTCGCGTTGACCATTTCATTCGGGGAGAGAACGCTGCGACAATCTTCTAAAAATGTAGTCACTCTCGTTTGTACATCCTTGCTGGGGATCTCAGTCGATAGATATTGACACCGACGCAACCAATCCACTTCCTCACAAGTACCAACTAGTTTGCCTTTTTCTATAATCTGTTCCTGATCACAAATGTTCAGTACCCATATTCCTGAAATGTGGGTGGATCTAACCAAGGCTCGATCCACTTTCCATGGGTGGCCATTGTATACCCTTTCCATGAGCACACAACGGTGAGCTTGCCTAGGATTCTGAGGAAGACTAACCGGCACAATCTTTTCCGATCTTGGCGGCAGGACAATTTTCTTAAGGTTGTACACATTCCCTGGTAACGCCCCTTCGACGAAAAGTTCCTCTTGTCCACATTTCAAAACACCTTACTTAACGTCGCTCTCACATAAATTCTTCCTTATAAGTCTTGGCCCAGGATGCAGTCGTCCATTATATCGTAATTCTTGGAGCTCTTTTAACCTCAGCCAGCACCCACCGCGCAGTCCTGGCTTTTGCTGCTGCTGGGCGGTGCTGTTAGTCGCACTACCCTCTCGATATCGATCACCTTCATTTTCTACAGTTCACTTAGGGCAGCTGGATCGAATATGGCCCCTTTCTTCACAACCGTAGCACCTAGGGCTGTATTCTTTATTGCGGTCGCGAACTGCAGCTGCTGCAACCTCCCTGACGCGATATGAATGATGATCCTGCTGCACGTCTTCCACCTCCAGTGCATGAATCAATGCGTCCTTAACCGTCTTGCGGATGCCGTCGATGAATGTCTGCACCAGGTTCCCGTCAATGAGCGCAGGTACAGACTGGTATGCTTTTCGAATCAGCTTCTTCACCTCAAAGGTCCACTGCTGCAAGTTTTTGTAGTTGCGTTGCACGCGATCTTTGAGCTGCGCACGAAAGACGTGTTCCAGTTGAGCGTCGCCATATCTCCCCTCCAATGCTTCAAGGAGCTGCTCGTAAGCCAAATCCTTACCGTGAGCTTCCAAAACAGTTAAGGATTGCTCGCACAGGCCTACGGTGAGGGGAGTCATGGCCCGACTTGTATTCCAGCCGTTCGCCTTCATGACAGCCTCGAACTGGATTTTGTATGCCGTCCAGGAAGAAGGCCCGTTGAACGGCGGCACTTTGAATCTACGTAGCGAAGGTGTTGTAACTACCACGGTAGCTGTAATTCCATACGCGATTGTTCACTTGGTCAATTCGAGTTTCAGCTTCCAACAAGCGTTTGTCATGTTGAGCTATCCTATCCTTTGCCTCCCTTATCTCTTTCCCGAAGGTAGCGCGAAGGTCTTTCATGAAGAACATCTGCTCTTCCTTATCGCGTTTGAGCTGCTCTTCCAAACGACGAGCCTGTTCCTCATGTCCTCGTTGCAGCTGCTCTTCCAACCCACAAACCTGTCCCTCCTGTCGGCGAGCATGTTCCTCCTATCGGCGGGCTTATTTATTTATTTATTTATTCTTTATTGCATTCCTTAATCTAAAAGAATACAAAGTGCGGACTTAATGCTTTGAGTCATTCTCTACAAGTCATCCCATGGAGTGGTGAGAATTTGAAGTAGGTGTAGCAATATAGAATAAAAACAAAATAAAAATGATAATTAATTACGGTATACATATATTATACATTTTTGTGCCGGACGGGCGTAACTCTCCGGAGTAAATGTTGTCGAAGATACTCCGCGAGCCGCTCACGTCCTACACCTATAGGTTCAGGAGGATACTTTCACTACCGCCTTGGTGTATGCTGTTGGAGAACTGTGGACTGAGGTTCAGAATTAAAAATGCACGATTTATAAATTAAAATAGCAAGGGAGTGGCCAGCGGTTGGATTGATTAATTAGTTACGAAATATTATAACTTATTTATTTATTTATGAATGAACGAGGAAAGAGTGACAAAGCAAATTTATGTTGCGGAAGTGAACGGCAGGGTCGAGAAGGGACGCCCTAGACGAAGGTTTATCGACCAAATCGGCGATACATTAAAAATGGGCCAGATTAGGAGTACCCTTAACCGACGTGCGTGTATGCGTAGATATATGGATGTAAAAGAGGCGAGAGAGGTGTGTCAGGATCGCGCCAAATGGAAGTCCGTAGTCTCTGCCTACCCCTCTGGGTGACAGGCGTGAGTGTTTATGTATATGTATGTATGTATGTATTTATTTATTTAACACTGTTTTTCAACTATGGTTGTTCACTATATATTTCAAAACACAGATTTAATTAAACACACAGTAATATTAAAATTTCTATTGGTTTTTTAAAATTTCTATTCGTATTTTAAAAATATCTGTTGGTAATATCAAATTTCTATTGGCAGTAACAAGTTTCTATTGGTATTTTCTACTATTTCTATTGGTAATTTTGAATATCTATTGGAAGTAACAAATTTCTATTGGTAGTATCCAAAATATCTATTGGTAGCAGCTGGTTTTCTAACACTACTGACTAGCAGCTATTAATCAACTAAAATTAGTTGAATTTAACACTTTTGTAACTGCGAATATCAGTTACCACTTTTTCCGTCTAGCTAACACTTTTCACTATATGTAACGGCGAAATTTCCGTTACCACTTTATTCGGCTAGCTAACACTTTTTCACTATATGTAACTGCGAATATCAGTTACCACTCTTTTCAGCTAGCTAACACTATTTTACTATATGCAACTGAGAATTTTCAGTTGCCACTTTTTCCGACTATGTGTAACTGCGATTTTTCAGTTACGACCTTTTTCGGCTAGCTAAACTTTTTCTATTTCACTTTAACTTTTCACTGTGTTCTGCTACTAGTCACTTCAGCTACTACCGGATACTACTGCTTGTTACTGGTAGTTCTTCCTACTACAATGTTACTGTGATTTGCCCCCATAAGGTAGACTTCGGCTATACTCTATAGAGAGCCGCTTGCCAATTTCCGGTTTTGCCTTTTTATTATCAAACATTTTCATTATGTAATTTGCACAAATCACAATTTTTCTATATAATGCTAATTTTTACTCTAACATGCTATACACTATAAAATAGGCATTTTGGTCCTTTATCGCTATGTGATAAGGGTTACTTAATATATTTACATTCAAAAAAGTTATTAATGAAAATGTACCTAATTTACATAACAAAAGTGCACATTAAATCTTTAAATTTACTATATTTATCAAATGCGTTTATTTACATAAATTACCTATTTACTTATTTCAATCTATACACCATATGCTAACTAAATATCATATTTATAATTCTTTCAGAACATAAAAATATTCTCATTATTTTCATATAAACTATTGCGCAATTAATTAACTTCTAGAAAGTTCCACGATATGCTGCGCTGTGATTGGTCGAAATTTTATTTAATGTTTAAAGTCGTTTATATCAATTTATTATTAAAACGATACTTTATACAAATATATTACGAGTTGTAAACATACTGTAAACTATATTAAAACACAATTTATTCGATTTTGTTGCTAATTTCACTTTTTAAAACACTTTAATATTCTTTAATCACTTTTTGCTTAAAGTCTTTGAACCGTCGCGAACATCTCTCCCGCCGTGCAGCGTCGCGAAGATCTCATCGTAGTGGCGCTGCATCCATTTCGGTGAGCGACGTTGCTTCTACTTCGGCAGCGGCACGAGTTTCTTGGTTGGCCTCTTGATTAGGCCGTTTGCGGTGCGTACCTCCACAGTGCGGATCTGTCCGTCCGCACCGGGGTACACAGTTTCAATTCTTCCTCGTGGCCAGGTGTTGCGAGGTAACTGGCCGTCGGCTATGAGGACTGGATCGCCCACCTGGAGATCGGGGCCTCGACCATGGGCCTCCCGCCGGTTTTGGAGTTCCGGTAGATATTCTCGCACCCAACGCTGCCAGAACATGTTAGCGAGTATCTGGGAGCGTCGCCAGTGCCGTTTACTATTTATATCTTTTTCATTGAATACCCCAGGTGTCGGCAGTCTTGCTGATCCTCCCAATAGGAAGTGGTTTGGAGTGATGGATTCGTTGTCGTTGCTGTCCACGGAGATGTGAGTTAGTGGTCTACTGTTTACTGTATACTCCACCTCGCAGAGCAGCGTGGCTAAGACTTCTTCTTGTGGATGTCTTTCGTGAAGGACGGTGTATAGTGCCGTCTTCACGCATCGTACGAGACGTTCCCATACCCCTCCCATGAAAGGCGCGGAGGGGGTAATAAAACGCCACACTATGCCTCGTCGGCTGGCTTCTTCTTTAAAAGCCTCCCGCAGTTCCTTATCTGCGCCGTGCAAGTTGGTGCCGTTATCTGAATGAATTTCGGTGGGGCACCCTCGGCGCGCTGCAAATCTTCTCAAAGCTAATATTGCGGAGTCTGCGCTGAGATTTGCAACAATTTCCAAATGAACAGCTCTAGATGTGAGGCAGGTGAATAGAGCCACGTATCTTTTCTGATGTTGCCGTCCCACTGTGACGGAGAGTGGCCCAAAATAGTCCAGACCGGTGAAAGTAAACGGTCTCTGGTGATGAGCGAGACGTGTGCTGGGATGATCACCGGTGGCTGGCACAGATGGTTGCGCCTTTCTGATGCGACATGGCACGCATTGGCTCACTATCTTTTTCGTCGTGGGTCTAAGTCTTATAACCCAGTAATGTTGTCGAACCTCGTTAATTGTAGGTTCGGTTCCGCAATGATGTAGGCTACGATGCGTCCAGTCTATGTACAATTGGGTGATGTGATGATCACCATCCAATATAGCCGGACCTTTCATATC